CAAGGTTCACACGAATTATATCAATTTAAGAACCACCTTCACAAAGCAACTTTTTTTCTTTTGCAATGCCAATCCCGCCAAAACTAAAAAGTGCAAAGGTGAACAGGAAACCTTTACGCAAATGTCACATTTGACTTTCAAATTCCTAAGCACAATTATCCATTACGTCCCAGAAAATTGGTAATAATTAAAAAAAAAAAAAAGCAGATAATGGGTAAGTACTGTGGCAAAGCGATTATAATGTATGCTTAAAATCATCCTTTTGAAAACTTGTTCTCAGCTCTTTGGCTCCATTGATTTATGTGAACCGTGACTTTTTATCTCTAGGTTCCATCCCTCATTTTAAGAGATCTGGTGAAATCTTTTACACTTAAGAAAATGGGGGTAATCCAATTTCCCTTCTCCCAAGACATTTTTAAAAAACTCATCATTAATTTATTATGCTGTTGAACTTTAAGAAAACTTCTGCTTCTCTGTGTCCAGATGTGTGATATACAAAAATATGGCTATTTCATATCACTCATGGGTGCAGAGCAAAATATAATTTAAGAGAAAGGTTTTCAGTAACCTGTTTTGTAGAAGGAACTTTGCACCTGGGAGTCACAAATTGGGCAGATTTTTAAAAATCCTTCAGCAGTTGGAAATGACCGAAAATAGCAAGATAAAGCAATTATTTTGAGAAACTTCTTTTTTTTTTTCTTTAGCCTCCATGGACTCAAATCTATTAAAAAATTGTCTTCTTAAAGTGTTATTAGGAGTCTGTCCTTTTAAAGTTTGGTAGTGAGAACAAACTGTGCCTAATTTGTGTTTATTCTTTATTCTATCTGGATTGAACATGATTTATCATGGATGTAGCTGCAGATGATTTTGTCGCCTTTCTTCCTTAGGAAGTTTTGAAGTGGTAAGAATTCCCAAAGGAGACTTTTTTCCCCCCTAAGACTCATGGCTTCTTTGATGTGCCTTTAGTTGTGGAGTCTGTTCTGTCAGTCCTCAGATCGGCTCCTGGGGCATTTAGGATGATTTTTTTTTTTAAATATTTTATTTATTTATTTATTTGAGAGAGAGAATAAGACAGAGAGAGCATGAGAAGGGGGAGGGGATATCCCATTCTGGGATAATGTGAGAACAACTGAGCTGGAATCTTGGACCTCTAAGCTCTCCTTCCCTCGAAGATAAAAGGCTCAGGCTCGACTTACGGTTTATAGTGGGGGTTGACACATTATGGCGCATGGGCCAAATCTGGCCTTCTGTCTGGCTTTGTAAATAAAGTTTTATTGGCACACAACCACACCCATTGGCTTCTATATAGTCTATGGCCGTTTTCATGCTACAAGGACAAGAGTTATTATGGCAATTATAGGTGTTGGTGAGAATTATGTAGGTCAGGCCAAAGTGTCATATTTATAATAACTGAATTACAGGCAACAAGGAAGAAATTGTTTATCAGCCAAAAGCTGGGGACAACCACAGGACCAAGTTTCCTAAAGCCTTAAAACTGCAAACTCTCTTTTGTACAATCTAAGACCCATCAAAGAATTATCTTGTGGGTAGCGGGGGTTGGAAGTCGTGGTCTGCTACTCGTAATTGAGCAAACTTGGAAGAAGTCTATTTGAAATGATCAATCACTGTGTTAATTTTTTTTCCCTCTAGTGTCTGACATTCAGTGTCCTATCACAAGGGAACAGTCTCCTCTTTGGTTGTTGGGAGTGTTCTCATAAAGAAAGCACGCCTCCCTCAATTTCTACTTCCACAAAGCTGCGGTGGCAAGAGGTTCCACTCTTTTGAGTTCCTTCCCTCCTGCTTGGCTGCCCTGGTAAAGAAAGCCTATTTGTCACTGTTGCCTATGCCCACTCGACCCCAAGCTGTGTGTACCAGCCCCCAGTGAAGAAGCTCTTGGCCTGACTATCCTAGACTGTGGGGCCAGTTCTCCTTTCCATGGAAGAAAGTCTTTCTTTCCCGTGAGGGGGAACTCTCCAAGTCTAAGTGTGGGATTGAAGGGGAGAAAGCCTATGCAAATTGCTTTAGTCCCTACTCAAGGTCTCCTGTAGGCTGAGCTAAAGCCTGGCATGCATAACTTTGGTGTGGTCTGCTACGGTTCCCTGTTGGGGGTTGGGGTGAATGGTAATACAGAATCCTCACATTCCAGACACTGTGTTCTACGCTTCTGTTTTGCAGGGGGAGAAATTGAGGATATAGTTCAGCATCCATGCATACGCAGGGGAGGAAAACGTTTTCCTCTACCCTCTTATCTTATAGTAATGAGGCCTGTGAATTAAAATGATAAAACACAGATTAACAATAGAAAGGGTTTATTTGTGCATATGGAGTCCTTCATACGAAAGAAGAGCCTAAAGAAGGAGTTAGACTAAGGAGCTTATATGCCATTTTAACAAAGGACAATGAATTGTATGTAAGCGACAAGTAAAGGCAAAGGGGTTTGGGCATCTACGGGTAGTCAATTGTGGGAGGGTAAATATATGGGGGGAAACTAATGGAAGATAAGGATTATTTTAGTAAGTTTTGTTTGTTGATCTGTCTCCAGTGATAAGGCTGTTCTCCTGGTACGGGGGAGGGGGAGGGATATACCCTCATGAAGGCAAATGGATGCCCTGCTTTAGGGCAGATAGTGAGACGGCACAGCGCTCTTTCTGCATCTGCTACTTCTTCATTGTCTTCAGCTCAAAATAACCTTATGCCAAAGTGGCATATTTTGGGACGGCATCTTCTTATCCGCGCCCCCCCACCCCAGATATCCTAAGGATGAATAGTGCTTCCTAAAAATTGATGTCCACCCAGAATCTCAGAATGTGACCTTATTTGGAAGAAAGGTCTTTGCAGATGTAATTCGTTAGGGATCTGGAGATGAAATCATCCTGAATTTAGGGTGGGCCCCAAATCCTTATCAGAAGAGAGGTCACAGAGAGACACACAGGGCAGAAGGAGGGTGTGTTAGGGTTTCCAGAGGGAACATGTCCCTGCTGACACCCTGGCTTTTCGGCTTTTGGCTTCCTGATCTAGGAGAGAATAAATTTCTGTCATCGTAAGCCACCAGTTTGTAGGACTTTGCTCTAGCAGCCAAAGAAAACTACAGCTGACCTATAAACAGCACACGTGTGAACGTCACGGGTCCACTTTTTGTGCTTTTTCAAAAAATACGGTACAGTTCTATAAATCTATTTTTCTCTTCCTTATGATTTTCTTAGTCACATTTTTTTATTATTGTAGGAATACAGTATATAACACATATACAAAATATGTTAATTGACTGTTTATGTGGTCGGTAAGGCTTCTGATCAATGGTAGGCTATTGGTAGTTAAGTTTTTGGGGAGTCAAAGTTATACGAGGATGTTCAACTGTATGTGTCGGGGTTGGCTCCCTGAACCCCCACATTATTCAAGGTTTGACTGTAATACACATAAACAAACACCTCATCAACACTGTTCAGTTATTACATGCTCACATTTATGTCTGTGTACCGAAAAGTCCCAACAAGGTGCCATACTATCTACTATTTATTGAATAATTGAACTCTTAACAGATGCCGGACGCTACATGTCGCTTTTTACTGCACGTATATTGGAAGGCTTTCATATATCTATTTCCAAATTGTGCTACCACCTACACATCTCCAGAGTCTTAATCACTAGCACTTCTAAAATATTTAATAGAATAATAGAACATTTCTTCTTTTGCCAATTATCATTTCAGCAATTACTTTAATATCTAAAATATTTTAAAGGTTTCTTTCATCTCAGCAGAAAGTCTTTCTACCCAGGGAGCTGTGACTCAAAGATGTACTTCAGCCTTAGGCAAAACCGTTTCATTTTTGTTATTTGGGTTTCATTGTTGTAGTTCACAGACTTGGGACTAATGAAAATTTTAGGCAAAGACTTTTTCTAGCGTAAGGAGCTGAGAAAGCAGTCAACATTCACCCTAAATACTATGCGTTCAGAGAGGTAGGTGAGGAACAAAACCTTGGCATTCTGGAAAACCATGTTTTTATTAGTGCTAGAAATATTCAATGGGTACTTGGTGATCTCCACTCACAAGGTCTAAGACTCAAATGTAGGATGTTTGCATTTCACCAATAAAGATAAAGTGCCTTTCCACAGGAGTCTTAAGTTCTCTTAAATGGTACCACATTTTCAACACTTAACAAAGCATCAAACACACTGACACTTGAGGCAAACATGAATATTTTATTCTCCCTCAATAAAACAGTTAAACACATCCATTCTCAGCCATTCAGGTTTTATGACCTAAGGCCATGGTTGCACAACTCAAAAGGAACACAGGTGAGAAAAAGAAGAAAGAAGAAAGAAAGAAAAAGAAAGAAAGAGAGAAAGAGAGAAAGAGAGAGAGAGAGAGAGAAAGAGAGAAAGAGAGAAAGA